ATTGCCATTAGGAAACTGACCCCCGGGTAGCACGTGGTCCGGGTCACTGCGTGGCCAGGAGCCACCAGCATCGCTCCTTTGTGCTGGACAGGCTGTAGTCTTTCTAGTGAAGCTCACATTTATTATTTTTCCTCCTCTGGACTCTCACAGTCACAAGATAAAGTGGTGACCAGTCCTGCAGTGCCCTGGGAACGGCCACCTGCGGGGATGTAGGTGTTACTTTGCTGTATGAGTGGCCCAGCAGCTGGGAGCATCCCTTTCTTATTTCCTTTTAGGAGATTTTATTTTTGTAACCTTTAGCTTCACAGTGTATTGACTCCAACAGAGATGAATCAAGCTATCTTGAGAGAGTTCAGGTCCCTCATGATGCTATCTGGGATTTTTCTTAGGACAAAAATGGCCATGGAGTTGTACTTGGAACCACATGGTTTGAGGAAAAGGGCTTGAGATGAGTGGAACCCACACTGTGTTTAGTCAGATTTTTAGGCTCCTACACAAGTGATTAGGGTATTCTTTGAGTGATTCATTTATGACTTACCTTGTAAGATATCATTTAGATAGTTGGAAATTACAACAAAATGAAGTGAATATTACAATGTGTAATATCCTATGCTTTTAATGTGGGAAAGATCCAAGCAGTTCATGGACTAGTTTAGTTTTGTGTACGCCATTCTTGTTCATGAAACAAATATTTAAAAGCAGCTGTCAACCCTGTGCCTTAGAAAAATGTGAGAAATATGTGACTCTCAAATTGACACGAAAATGGACTGAAGTAGTTATTGAAGCTACACACAGCTATAGATAATTCTGATAAATTCTTTCAACACTTTCAAGTAAGCTTTCTCAAGTCTTTATGGTTAACAAATATTATCATAAGTACTTATTAAATTTACATAAAGTATTTTTACAAGCTATGAGTCAAGATATCATTTCAGATTATTTTGAAATTTTAGGTAGGAAAAATACCAGTCCTTGTTAGGAACTTACTGAAATTAGTTGCGATAAACAGGTTTTTCGTTAGATAGTTGTGTTAATTACCTTTCTTCCAGTAGAACGAAGTACCTGAGATGATCAACTTTAAGGAGAGTTTTATTCTGACTCAGTTTCGGAGGTTTCAGTCCTTGCTTGGCCCTGTTGCTTTGGTGCTGGTGGCGCAGTTTGTCATGAGGTGGCCTGTTAATCCCATGATGGGTGGGAAGGGACCAGAGGGACATGATGTCAGAGTATTTACGTCCTCTTCACAGGCCTGGCTGCAGTGCCCCAATTTCTGACTAGCGCTCTTTCACTGCAAGGATTGGCCAGCTTCTGATTCTACCACAAGCTGGAACCATTTCATGGCCAGATACTCATCCAGCAGCATCTAACAGTGGGCATTTTTATAAAGGGAAGTGTGCTATTTAGATAGGGTGACAGATTGTATAGCTTAGCTTTCTAATTAAGAAACCAGTTCACTCTTAAAATGAAATACAGAGTAGACCATTTCAGGAAGAATTTAAGCAAATAGTGTGGGACAAAATATGTAGCATTTAATAAGGCAGAGTAGCAAGAGTTACTTGGTTTTATAATAGGCAGATCATAAACAAATCACAGTTTCAGAGGGAGCCATGGTGGTCTGATACTGACAGCTTATTATTAGCAGCATTAAGATTTGAAAAACCTTATGGTGATCTGTAAATGCTCCTGTGAATGAACAGTGATGCTAAGATATACTGTACTGTAAGAACTATTCCTGTGTCCACATGGCTCTGAGTGTGCATATTTCTTACAAGTGAATTTAGGGAGGGGACTTTTGGAGATTAATTGGTGGATGCAGGAGACACCATTGGATAAAGGGCACAATGAGATGGGTCTGTTTCTAATCCTGTCTTTCTCTGAAGCCTTATACTTTTGGACAAGTCATGATGCATTTCTTAATCTGTCAACGTTTCTTCATGTATATATTGAAGTGTATATATTCTTCAGTGGCTTCTTAGTTTTATAGTTCTTGGATTCTTTCTTTATTAGACCAAAAAATTCAAAATGAGTTAAAAATTACCAATTTGCATCTTGTAACCCAAAGGGAAACTGTGCATTCTCTCTTGTGTGTGTCGGTCATGGAAGTGGTAGACATGGTGGAGGAGATGGTGGTGATTCCTCATAACTGTGATGGATGTTTCCTAGGAGACATGACAGTCTTCTCTGTTTCTTTCTTTTACCTACTGAATGCCTCTGCCATGTGGATTCTTAGTCATTGGTAAGATAATTGGATGGGAAGAAAGGCCAACAGGAACAAATGGCTGAAATCCCCTGGCAGTGTCTTTGGCGGGGGGTGTAATTTATAGTCTGTTAGCACACTGGGAGCTGGAAACATAGAGGTAAGCAGAGTTACATTTGCTCGGTGAGATGTGGACTGAGAGCCTAGCATGTTTGTCATCTGTGCTCGGTATGTCCCGCTATGGAATGCGCGTCAGAACTGGAATCAGGGCTTACAGAGAGTGATCACTGTGCCCCTTACAGGCCCCTCTGGAGGTAGAGAAAGCACATTGAACTTTTCTCTCTAGCTGTTCTGTCCAGAGCTCTATAGAGCATCATGAGTAATATTGGCCTCTTTCCTCAAGGGTCCGAGAGCTCTTTGAGTCGTTCTGTGTGTACAAGAAAATTTCCAAATACTGCAGCATGAACATGTCCAAGAGAGAGAAAGAGATAGAGACAGACGGACAAGATAGGACAGAGAGAGAGTGAGAGTGAACACACCTTAACACCAAAGCTGCCAAGTAATTTTGACATAAGGTATGAGTGGTTTCTTTTATTGGAAATATTAATACAAAAAGTCTTCGTAAAATAGCCTGTGGATTGAAAAATAGTGCACTGTCTTGATCTCGGAACTGAGAAGTGAAACATTGCTGTCTGCTTTTCTAGAAGCCCAGTACCACCGCTTCCATCCCTGCCCACAGCAGCCAGGCAAGGGCACCAGCAGGAATCTGCGCTCTGCTTCTCTCTGGCAGCGCCAGTGGCTGGAGGGTGTCTCCACACTTCCTTTCTCTGTGCAGTGAGGGCCATGCTGAGAGCTTCAGCTTCACTGTTTTCTATAAACAGTCTAGAAGTTGCTTCTCTAGGTAGAGTATCTGCAAGTGGGCCAGGCCCCATTCTGAGTGTTCTCTTTGCATTTCATCCTTATGCAAAGTAGAGGGTAGATAGGACTCTTTGGTCCATTTTAGAGATGAGGAAACTAATGCAGAGTGGTCTCACTTCCTTCCTGAGGTCCTGAGGTGGTGGAGCTCTAGGCATTGATGAATATTCTTAACCACTAGGCTGTGCTGCCTCCCCTAGTGGAGGGGCAGGGTCCTGTGGCCAGGAACCCACTGAGGAATGCATGAAGGCAGGGATCCGGGGTGCACACAGGCAGTGTGCAAGGGCATGACGAATGTGTTGGCCAGCAGTGGCCTCTAACAAGCCCCTTGCTGAATGTGTGAATTCCAGCCTCCCATTTGGGAAGGATGAGAGCCTGGCAGATCTGGATCCACCAGCAGTCTCAGGTGACAACTGGGCTGCAATGTTCCCCTGGAGCACTCCTTCCCTTTCAGATGACATTTCTGTTGGAAGCCTGACCTCTTCATAGTGTCCAGCTAAATAACCACACCCTCTCCTGCCTCAGAGACATCCTGATCCTGGATTTGTATAGGGTGCCCCAACTCATGTGTAATAAACAGGGGAGTCCCCAAGAAACAGCTGTGTGGTGGGGGTGATCTGCCAGGCAACCTAGAAGCCTCTGTGGCAGGGTATGAGAAGTTAAATGGGAAGGAGGGTAGTGGAGAGGACAGTGGAGTGGGCTGGAGGAGGTGATTTTCATTCAGTGCAGACGGTGTTACTCCATGGTGTGGAGCAGATGTAAGAAGCTACTTGCCAGGGTGCTGCCTGGGACTCCTGAGAGGGGCCGAGTCCCTGCTGACCTCCAGCAGCATCCTGAGGCTTGTGCTCCACGTCCCTGTCCACAACCATGAGGATGTCCCTTGGCCTGGTTAGCACTTGACCTGAGACAGCATGTCCAGTTTTTACATCCTTTTTCTCCCCATTCCCAAGATGGTGAATGGAAATGGAACCCACATTTGTTTCTGACTGGTACTGGAGATTTTCCCTCTTAGCCCTGTAGACAGACCCTTTGTCCATCCCTGCCTATGCCCATCTGCACCTTGGGGTCTGCTTTCCGTCAAGTGCCGTCATGTCTTTCCTGTTTCCAGCCACACCGACTTTCTCCTCCCTTCCTGCTGTCTCAGCTCCTTCTCCATGTGGTGCTCAGGAGGCCATCACAGTTCATCTGGAGGCCAGTACGTCACACGATAATGGAGGCCCATGGGTCATTTTGCCAAAGCTATAAAAGTGGAGGCCAGAGCCTCGCTTACTTTTTTTTTTTTTGCCTATGGCCCGCTGATCTCAATTGTGCATTCTTTGTTAAAAAATGATAGTTTTTATTTATTTAATTTCCTGTACCACACATGGACACTCAGAACTAAGACTCTAGACCGAGTCAGCTTCTTTGTGCAGACCAACCAGTGTACACCTCTAAACTGAATTCATGCGGCAGGATAGAGTGCGGGGTACTCACATCACAGGCTGCGTTCAAACTCCTAAGTATAGAACCCAGTGCAGGTGATGAGCAAGAATGAAAACTCACAAAGCACAGCTGTATGCCTGCTTACTTAAGTTAGTTGCAGGTTCCAATGCCGTGTCCATATTCTAATCCAAATAGATCAAGAGAGCCGCGAATGACTGAGGTTTCCCAGTCACTCCCACACCTTGCTGATGTGTGGGTGCTCTCGTCCACCTCTAATGTGTGTCACTGATACACCGGCCACCCATTTCTCCTCTGAGGACTGAGAAGAGCTGACCTCTGTGTGCCCTGAGCGGAAGGAGGCTTCCAAGCCAGATCATTGCTTCTGACCCTTGTGCTTGTAATGTTTATGAACTGTAGTTATTTGTGGAATCTAATGAAAATCACCCTACTCTTTTTTTGTGTCTCATAGAAATTACCTCTTCAGATTGCAGCTGGAGGATCTGTCTCTCATCCAGGTAGGTGCAATTTGTTTTTCTCAAGCTTTTTCCCCATCCAAAAGAATTTCTGACTGAGGGAACAGGAACCTGGCGGGATCATTTCATCAGTGGGCTGCGCTGTGGACGCTGGCCTGCCTGTGCGAGGTGGACATCCCCTTCTTTAATAACTGGCTGGCCTTTCCTTCTGTCTTTCCTGCTCTTGGTTTCCTGGCTGTCTCTGTAGGCCCTCTGCATCCGGAGCCTGACAGTGCCTTGCATGCTGCCTCCAAGTCTGGGAGCGGCCGGGGCCGGGATTGGTCGGGCTTGTTGCCTGCAGTCATCACACTCTTATGAAATAGCCTCATTTCCTATTTTTGTTCATCATTACATAAATTTGAATATGGGGCTGAAAGTTACGTACAGAAAAGAATAAATAATACTAGATACAAATGACATTTATCTGCTTCTGTTATTGCAGTTTGAATGAGCCTTACACCCGTATGTTGAGATGCTTATTTTCTTGTAGGTCTCAATTGTAAATGCTTGCTTTCTCCCTCTTCTAGTCTTTTAGAAAGGTGTGATAATGGAAGTCTCCTACAAAAGAGGGTGGTAGCACAGTGTTCTTCCTTGCTGAGATTCTGGAGCTATTTGTGGGCCATACTACAATCTCTGGGCTGTGCACAGTTTAGAAAATATCCTTCAACTAATATGAATATCAGTCTCCTGTTCTCGGCTCTAAGAAGTGGTTGGAAAGATTATGTTATTTTCTTTTTTCTGTACTGCTGGTATTTGTGAATAGGAAGCTCTAAAGATAGGTTTTCATGTTAATGTCTATTTTTTATTAATCAAATTGGGAAACAAGCAAGAGCTTCGAAGAACATGACATCCAGATTTGTGGTCTAGTTGCATGACTTCTAGTAATAATTGGTTTTTTTTACTGGCCAGCGGCCACAAATGTCCGCCAACCCCATGCTATCACAGCACATGCAAACTGAGATTCACCAACAAGAGAAAGTTCAGCAATTTCTTAGGCAACATGTACAGTGTGTGTTTTCAAAAGGGATAATATGTTACCATCTCCACAGAAGGAATGTAAGCAGTATGTGCTGCAAATACTTTTTTTTTTTTAAATAAGGAGAACACAAGATGGATGAGGGGCTAGGGAGGGGAGGGGAAAAGAATGCAGAAAGAATTAATATGTGTTATATACATGTGCCAACTTCTCACAAAGAATGTAAACATCGCATACCACAAACATGCTGCTAAATACAAAAATTAAGACTGATGATAATAACAAATCATCATAATCACTTTAGCACACTCGACCATGACTTGACTTTTTACAAGTCATTAAATGCACAGAGTGGTTGTTAAAATGATGAACTTATTTAGTAATTAAAATGATCAACATTTTGAGAGCATTAGGTTAACTGCAATAAGCCAGACACAGAAAAATGAGTACATGAAGGGATAGAAAGTGACATAGTGGGAACAGAGTAAAGCGGTGATTACCAAAAGCTTGGGGCATGAGGAGAAATTAACAAATGGTCAAAGAGTACAAAATCCAGGTAGACAGGAAGAATAAGTGGTAGAGATGTATTGTGTAGCACCCTGACTGTAGCTAATAAATATTGTGCAGCAAAATTGTTGAAAGTAGCTTTTAAGTGTTCTCACTACAAAAACATATGTAAGGTAATATGTATGTTAATTAGCTTACCTTAGCCCTTCCACAGTGTATACCTCCAATATCATGTTGTGTACCACAATATATATATATATATATATATATATATATATATATATAATATTTTTTGTATAGTTCTTGTCAATCCAAAATGGTCAATGTTCTAATCAAAATGCCATCTCAAAGATTATTTTAAATTCTCTTATAAAATAGAGACCTCTCAATATGTAAGACAGATGTTTTATGCTCATTTTGATTCTCATAATATATGGTTTAGCATAATGTATATGAAAAATGAGCTGTGTAGAAACATGTGTGCTCCCAAGCTTGTTGACTGTCTTTGTTTCTTATTTCTGAAGGTTTCTAAGAGGTTCTAGATGCACGGGTATTCTACTAGTAGTGAGCATACATAACTCACAGTCCTTGGTTTCTAAATAGAATTCTCCAACACAAGAAACCAGTTTCTTATTGCAGATAAAATCAAAAGAATTTTTGTTTCAGAAGATAAAGAAATATTTAAAGCATGTTGAAGGTGTATAAAGGGATTTAGAAACTAGCTTCAAGCATGTTGAAAAAATCTGGAAGACTGGATGGCCAAAAATATGTAATTATAGTAGAGGTTATTATATGTTAACTCAATGTGTGGTCCATGAGCAAATACTAACCTAAGAAATGAATGAATAAATAAACAAGCAACATAGAAGGACTAACCTGTCATCATAAAACACCAACTATTAAATGCTGAAGGAGTGTCTTAATTAGAGAATTAGATTTGGTTGTCATTACCCTAAAATTGATCTAGGCAAAAATGACCCATGGTTGCTAAAGTGTATGAATTAGAGTTTGATGACAGCTAGGGTATTTACTGTCCCTTAGTACTTTGTTATACAGTACTTATTAATTACAGGCAGTACCTTGCAACTTGACAGTACGAAGAAGAGACCTGGTGAAATCCTGCCACCAAACAGTTCACAATAACTTTGCCAGTAATGAGAAGAAGGCTGTTGCCTGAGTAGTGTGCAGCTGAATTTCTGTGGCATCCCAGCCTGACACTGTAATCTGCCTTACTTACTTTGAGGACCCATCAGACAAACCCACAGTGAGGGACATCCTCGAAATGCTGGCCTTTACCCTTTTAAGATTAGAGCCATGAAAGTTGTTTTTAGGAAGAATGAAGAGTTGTTACATCATAGAAGAGGACAAATGAAGATGACCATCAAATGCAGTTTTGATCTACAGTTAATTTGTGGGTAGATGTTTGTTCTTGGTAAGAGTGACATTACTGGGGCAGCTTACAAAATGTGATTGCAGATAAGACTCATTTTCTGATTTTTATAACTGTACTGGCAACTGTGATGGAGGAGAATGCGCTTATTCTTTAGGAAAACCTCCTGAAATATGCAAGTCACTCAGTGTATATCTGTATCGTATTCTCAAATGACTCAGAAATTACTTGGTATAAGCATGCAGACCAAAAGACCCATATAGTCTGCTCACTTTCATCCTCGTACCATCATATATTTCTTGGCATTCTGTATACTAAAACCTGGGCTGTGTAGATATGTGTGTTCTCAAGAATATGTTGAGTCTGCATGTTTATTGTCTTAGTCCTGATGGCTCAGAGGGTCTAGGAGCACTGGAAGTATGCATTCCAGATGTGCACACATGTGCACAGAGAAAAATGACAAAGCAAAATGGGATAACATGAGAATCATGGAATTGAAGTATGGAATGCATGTGAGTCCATTGTGCTCTTCTTGTAGCATTGCTTGACACTATGTCAAAATAAATAGATGCGACAGTTAAGAAATACATTTGCCATTAATGCGCATGTATGGACACTGATTGTCCTTTTCCGATCATGGCTTCCCTTCCCATGGCTCCCTTGGGTGGACACAGCGGGAGTTACTGATGGATCTGAAATGCTCCCACTGAGAAGGGAAGCCCATGGGCCTCATCCCCTGGAGAGAGCTTCCTGCACTGACACAGGGGCAAGCAGGACAGTGACACTCTGAGTGGTGGCTTTAAAGAGCAGCCTTCATGACAGATGCCAAACGGTCCCTTGGTGCCGGGCACTGCAGAGTGACTCCCTTCTCACAGTCTATGGCTGTGTGCAGGTCTGTAGACTCCTGTTTGCACAGTGTGGGGAGAGATAAAGCTAGTAGCTCCTCACAACTCTTCTTACTTCTGACTGCTCTTAAAGGAAGAGGTGTTGTTGATTTCTCTGGATATCTTATTTTAACTTAAATGACTACTTCTAGAGATAACAAAATGAAGTAATCATGGTGGCGAATCCATTCTGGTCCTGTAGAGGGCGCTGTCAAAGCGAAGTGTATGAGCTTCATAAGTGACTTAAGATGATCCATTAGACGTATGGAAAACAAGTTCCATTGAGCAAGGACAGTCATTTTTATTTATATATGTTAGTTATAGCGTCACATCCTACATCTTTCACCAACCCAGAATAGTGAGGTTTCTTTGTCAGCGTCATTGTGCGCTGTGACTGTAGACTGTGTGGTTTTGGTCCCAGCGTGCTCTGCTTAGGCCTAGCCACAGTTCAGGCCCCTTCGCAGCGGCCCTTTCCTCCTAATGTGAGGGCTGGCTGCTTTCTAAGTCTTCAGCTGGTTCCCCACGTTGAGCACTTTCTCTTTTCATCCTTCTTCTCCTCCATTTCTTAGTCTAGAAACAGACTCACATCCTTGAGTCACTTTAGCTGTCAGCTCCGTGTGAGCCACCTGAGGAGGATGGCTGCTGTGCCTGCCGGCATTCTTTCGTCTCGCTGCCTTTATTTCTCACCAGCATTTAGTGCTTTGTAGTGAAATTCACTGTCAGAAAAAAATGGATTTATTTCTTTTGATATTCTCATTGTTACATTAGATACCGTGATTACATTGGGTCCCCTTGCAGGTGGTAGACTAAAAACACATGTCTAGAAACGTTTTTGTCCTCAATATATAATTATAATCTATTTTATCCTTTCTAAATCTTTCTGTTTTAATACTATTGTGGTTTGAGGGAAGCTTCATACTTTTGTTGCTAGATTTACAAAGAGGAAAGAATGATGAGAGAAAGACGAAATGCATGCTGTGAGAAGCATTTGAAAGCACACACATATGCATACACTCACCCCAGAGGAAACACACATATGCCACACTCATCCCAGAGGAAGACGCAGGGACAAAGAGCCATAATCGGAGTCTGCCCTGTGCCTCCTCCCGCACCATCCGGACTGCCTGTGGTCTTCTGCACACTTCTCCTCCTCTGGGTTCTTCTGTCTTCACTTTGGGTTAGCGTCAGTGGTGAGCAACAGTGAGTGTTGTTCCCCTTGTTGTTTTAGTAATCATCACAGAACCCT